ATCCCTCATGTCCGATGGTGTTGGTGGTAAGGGGGACAGGAGAGTTCAAGGAAGGGCTTGTCAGGTGATGCTTCTGATGCTCCCTCGTGGCAAGGGAGGTAGGAGGTAGAGAGCTAAGAGGTAGAGAGCCATCCACACTCTCCCCTCACGAGCTTGGCAGCCGACGACATGCCACTGAACGGGGTCAGTCTGTGTCTGGGGACAGGTTAGGCTCCCGTGTCAGTCTGATACACGGGCGCCATGTCGCTGGGGGTAGACCCGGAGCTCACTGGCCTGCATGGGCTTGCACCTGACTTGGCTGCCTCTCCATGGGGGACCCCATGGGCAGGACCCAGCTGCATAGGCAGGCACATTGGCCAGCCCCCCTCCACCCGCTGCCGCCCCACTCCTGGACCGAACATCCCTTGGGCATTCTCTGCTGCAAAGCCGGGGATTAGGGATGGTGCTGAGGCTCTCTGAGGTGTCACTGAAGTTTGGGTGTTGTGCAACTTTTGGGGGGATATGTTGGACTCAGAGAGCCCAGGGCTGGGATGGGAGGGTGGTGGGCAATGGGGTCTCTGGACCTTCTGCAACTGCTCACCATGGTTCTGACCATTATGCTCCAACCTGTGCTTGATTTGCCCATGTCTGCGGGTCCTTGGAATGTGACCAAGGTTCTGAGCTGTTTCAGAGGTTCTGGTACGATACTGACGTTCTGGGGGCTCATGGGGGTGACAGGTTCCAGGAGTTCTTGTGGTATTACTATAATTCTGGGGATATTGCTGAGATTCTGGAGGTGCTTTGGGGGATCAGGGAATCCTTGGGGGTGTTTCTGAGATTTTGGGGATGCTGCTGGCCTTCCCTATTGCCTCTGGCCCACTGTTAGCTCCTTTTAAGCCTAGCACTTTGCCCTTTGAGGATTTTGATAACCACAGGCTGCTGAAGGCACACACGTGGGCCTCTGTTCCTGGACGCAAATATTCCTCAGATTTAATCAACTTGAACAAAAACATGGGGAGGAAGGAAGCCCTGTCCCAAGGCCTTCATGGGCCAGCTCCAGCCCCAGGGGCAGAGCAGAGCAGCTCGTGCCAGGCCCAGGTAGCAGATGGCCTTTGTCTTCTCAGAACCCAGAAGCTTTTTGTGACCGCTTCTTACAGTGAGCAGGGCTTAGGTCCCCAATCTGTGCCCCGCTGGGAGCCCCTCAGGTATTGCTACCAGCCTCTTCTGAGTGTACCCACATGGGCTCATGCAGACCACACCAGACTGGCACCCCTGCCCCGTCTTCTTGCCTTCCAGACTCCCCTTCTTAGCTCTCCTAAGGCACCTCATTCTTACTACCATTGCTGACCCTGTCTGACATTGGTGCCCTGCTCCAGGCCCCCTCCTCCAGGAAGCCTCCAAGACTGCCCAAGACGTCTCCTTATAAATCCCCCTCCCCACCCCTCTTCTCGGAACTTCTACAGTCTGTCTCTGAAGTCCCTCCACTCTCCAGCCCCTCCTCTCCTGATGGCAGGTACCAGTCTCCGACTCTTCTGGGTATGAGTCACCCTATAAAGCCAACTCCCGTGGGTCAGCTGTGGACTCTGCTGCCAGGTGGAGAAATTCGTCAGGAGCACATCATTACCATCTTTCTCTTCTCAGTACATTTCCTGGCCTGCCTGCAGCCTGGCCAGGTGACATCTCTCCTAACACCTTGGTGCCAACCCTCCCATTTTAGAGACGTAAGCACCAAGCCATTCCAGCTCTGAACTGAGGAGGTACTTTGGACTCAAGAAGTGGGGTTCCCCTCCCAGCCTGAGCTATGTAGCCCCCCAGTATCCATGGTTCTTCCACCTGGCCTGCCTCCCTGCCTGCCCCACCAGCGTGGATGGGGGAGTGGGGGGGTAGCGGGGGGGCAGGAGGGTGGGTAGAAGACGATAGGGGACACCTGGGTGGTCACAGCCTCTGTGGCTTTGACCTTCTCGCTACAGCCCCAGTGGCTGGTGTGCTGCTCCACATTCTTGGGCCATGAAGTCATTGAGGGCAGGGAGTAGGGGCCTCAGGGAGAGCAGAGCCCATAGTCAAAGCCAGGCTGGAAGCCCCACCCCTCCTGGGACAGAGGAAGGGTTGAGACCCAGAGAGGCCAAGGGAATCACAGCCAGCCCCAGGGTTCAAACCCAGGTAAGGCTGCGTCCCCGACCAGGGCACTTCCCACTCCATATAGGAACTGTGCTTTCCCCCCTGGGCCTGCTCCTGCCCGTTGTCCGTGTGGCCTCCATCAAGGTGCGGCCTGCTGTCCACTGCGCCCACACCCAAGCAGAGGGACGAAGCTCACAATTTCTTCACCTCTGGTTGGGGCCTCCTGAAGGCGACCTCTGCATCTCCCCAGTGAGGAGGGAGGTGATCTCATGGGCCCTGGGATATCCCTGGGGAGGCCGCTAGAAGGCATCCACTGCAAGTCCCTTTGGGGGCAGAGCAGGGTTTGGTGCGGGGAGAGGTGCTGTGGGGAAGGGATTGGGTCAGGGACTGGGTCCGGGCTCAGCTGGGCCCCTCCCTGCCAGCCTGGCTCAGCCCCTGAGGCTGATGGAGGCTCCTTCAGGCAGCCTGAATGTCTTTCCTCAGTGCCCAGCTAGGTACCCCTCTCTTCCCCCAGGTCTCTGCTCACACGTCACCTCCTCTGCGGGGCCTTCCCTGACCATCCAGCCTAAAGCAACCACCTCCTGTCTGTCTGTCTCTTTTCTCTCGCCCCACTTTATTTTCCCTCTCAGCGCCATGACACGTTTGTCTCCCCACTCTCCCCCGTACCTCTCTCGCTCATTCCTACATTCTCAGCATGTAGAACCTTGCCTGGTGCATAATCAGGATGCAATCAACATTTGTTGCGTAAATGACTGAATGAACAAACCAGACCGGGGAGGCTTCCTCCAGGGAAGGAAGCAGTTTCTGACAGGCAGAGTTGCCCAGCGAGGAACATCTCTGCCTTGTATAGAGGGAGTGAGCTCCCCATCACAGACTGGACTCCAATTGTTGGATAGATCACCAGGGGGATTTAAGATCAGATAGAAGTTAATTGCTCTCTAGGCTGGGGGTCCAGAACTCCTGAGCAGAGAAGGGGGTGCGGGGCTCTGGTGTTGGAGCAGAGCCTCTGAAGTGCCTGGCTGGAGACATACACAGGAGCCTGAACAGGGCAGGCCTGTGGAGGGCTGATGGTCACTAGAACGAGCAATGGCTTGGCCAAACCCAGTTCGTAAAGTCCTCGTCACCCGAGAGCCCCATACTGGGTGTGCCCCAGCGGAATAAGGGAGGAAGAAGAGAAGAGGCCGAGTTCTGCCCCCAGGACCTCACAGCCAGGCTTAGGAGGCTGGATTCATCCCAAGTTCCTGGGAACAGACGGGCAGTGTGGGCTCCTGCATTGCATCACAGAGAGTTCAGGTTCAGTTCTGAGTCAGCTCCCGCTGACAGCTCTGCGGGAGGGGGAGGGGTGGTCTGAGCCCTCTTCCTGGAAGACGGTCATTTGGGAAGGAGGGGGAGAAGCCAAGGCTGACATGGCACTCAGGCCCTAATCCTGGAAGGCCTCGTGGGCCTGGCTATGAAGTTTGCATGGGGAGCTTTTAGGATTTCAAGCTCAGTCTCCATTGAGCACCCCCTCACCCCAGGGGGCTGTTCCCTCTATGAGGATACCCGCTTCCTTCTCCTCCACTCCCATCCTCAAGACCCCCACCCTCCGCACAGCTGACTTTTCCTTGCCCTCAGATCTCCATGAAAAGATTTATTTTTTCGGGAACCCCCCATTTTTTTTGGACCAAATTCAGCTTCCTATGGTATACATCAGAGCGTTCTGTGCCTTCCCTTTGTAGACAGGAAGACTCAGACTCGTGGTTATTTACCTACTTGTCTGTGCCCCCCCCCGAAGTGTAAACTCTCACATGCCAGGGCCCAGAATAGTGCCTGCACTTAGTAGTTGTTCACTGAATTTATGTTAAAAGAATAAATGTATGAATGCCTTTAGAAAAAACACTTGTGGAATGAGTGCCTTAGCTGGAGGGTGTGTGTGGCCCGGGGTCCCCTGGGGTATTGGAAAGACAGGGACCTTCAGATGTTCACGGGGCCTGACCCCCACCCAGGGACAGGGGCCTGAGAAGGGCTCACTGTCTTTATCTGATTCTTGTTTCCCTTCCGAGCTGGGGCCAGGAAGGGGAGGGGAGCCAGCCAGGGGTACAGCTTCTCAGGGGCAGGGTGGGGGGATGGAGAGGGAGCCCCAGCCCCTGCCTGGGCCCTGCCTTCCTCACCCTCACCCCATAGCATGGGAGGAACCGTGGACAAGAGGGGTTCTTCTTGCTTACCCGTGGGTCTGGTTTGTGTTTAGAGGACTAATCTCCGCCTCATGAGGGTGAGTTATCTCCTTGTGAAATCAAGTTGGAGAAACTAGAAGTGTTTACCAGTGAGACACATGTTGCCTCCTTCATGGAAACCCAGGAGAAGGAGTGGACAGGCTCCCCCTCCCCGCCTCCGCCCCTGGTCCAGCCCCAGCTGCTCCTTGGGTTGCCGAACGCTGGACTGTGTGCGTGGTGCCCTGCAGATGCAGAGGGCAGAGGTGTGGGCGCTTGGGGGTGGGGCACAGGAGGCAGGTACGTGTGCGCAGCCTGGTGCCGGACCCTCCTGGCCACACGCCTGCAGGGCTCAGGCTGCGTGGAGCTGGGGCCTCCTACCCTGGCGGGGCACTTTGTCAGGACCATGATGTGATCCCATCACTGAGGGCCAAAGGACGCAGAGAGGGGCAGGCTAAGGCTGGGGGTGGGGTGGGTGGGGGGGTTGTCTCGGGGGAGCCTAACAAAGAGGGGGATTGGACTGACCCCTGAGGGCAGGAGGGACCTGGATCCCAGCTGGGAGGTTCCAGCTATGTCGGGCCCGCCTGCTGCCCGCCCACCCTTTCATCTCTGCAGCTCCTTCCTCCCTGCCCTTCCTTGAGTGTGTGTCTGTGGGTCGTTTGGGTGGCTTTGGGGAGGGGGAAGGAAGGGGGGGGTTTCTGTGGGCAGCTTGGATTGGACAAACTTTCTTTGAAAATGGGCCTTTGCACAGAGGCTGGTGGTCAGACGAACAGGCAGGTACTCCAGCAAGAGCCCCAAAGACCCCGAGGGCCGTCCTCTTCCCAAGGGGATAACTCCCTGCAGGAGCGGGCAAGACGGGGCGGGAAGGGACGGGAAGGGACTCGAGGAGCCCTTCCCCTTTTCCCTGTGCCAGCGGGTCGGCCCAGGCCCTCTCTCCCAGACGGGCTTTTCCCAGAGAGCTAAAAGCAAGAAAGTAACCTTTAGAATTAAACAGAAACGTTTCTTTGTTTGGGTTTCTTTCTTTTTTTTTTTTTTCTCCCTAAGCCTCTTTTCACATCTGTAGTGGTTTTCCCCCACTTGTCCAGGGGAGGGGGGGCAGAGGAGAAAGGCCGGAGAATGTCGTCCCAGGCAGTGGGGAACCAGACCTCCTCCGGGGCCGCAGATGACTACTCCAACTGGTACATCGACGAGCCCCAGGGGGATCAGGAGCTCCAGCCAGAAGGGTAAGTCTGTCTGCCCGCAGAGTGGGGTGTGGCAGAGGTTACTGATGGGGGGATGGGGAAGCCACTGGTAAGATGAATTGTGCTGCCCTTTGCTGTGTGACCCTTGGCAAGTCACAGCGTCTCTGGGCTTCAGACTCCTGTTACCGGAGAAAAACGGCCCTGGCCCGGTGTTGATACTTGAGGTGGGGGTCCTGGGCCAGGCTGTCACTTCAAAAGCATCTGTGTGGTTTGTTAAAAATACAACCTCCTGGGCCTTCTCCTTGCAAATTCAGATCCATCCAGTCTGGGGCGGCTCTGGCCGGTAGCTGGGCTGCAGCGTGCTGGCTGAATGATTGAGGGAAGTTGGGCCTGCCTTCAAGGGGTTTCTGGTCCCTCTGGTGACCACCCGGGGTGTGGTGGCCACCAGCTGTCAGGCCCTCTGGGCAGCCCAGGGCAGGGGGAGGCCTGAGGAAGAAAGCCTGGGGGGAGGGTCCTTGAGGAAAGATGCCCGATGCCTTTGGCCGGTTCTCAGTCTCCATGAAGATGAGGAGGCCCTTTCTCTTTTGCAGGAGTGCTCAGGCGAGCCCAGGGGAGGGAGGCAGCCTCGGCCCAGTCCAGTGTGGCCAGAGGGCTTGGCCCACGGTTCCCTTTGCCAGACCCTATCTTTGTCTAGTCTGGGCACCCTGGCTGAGGGGCTGGGCCTCCCTGGGCCCCATATGCTGCCAAGGACGCCTGGCCTGTGCGGGCCCCAGAGCCCGGTTCTCCCCTTATTGTTCCCGGCCCTTGCCCCATCCCCCACCTCCCTGCTCTGTCTGAGGGTTTGGGGAGCTGGAAAGGTGAGGCTGGGGGGTGGGGGTGGCCGAGCCAGATGTGCACACATCTGCTCTCCATCAACACCTGAAACTAGAGAAGGAGAAACGCTGGTGTGCCCCCCCGGGGGCTGGGACTGTGGCCTGGCCAGGCTTGGGTCACCGGCAGGGACAGAGGCCCCAGCTAAGCCTCATGCTGGGAGGACTCAGGGTGCTGGCCACCCGGTCAGCAGCTCTGGGTCGGCAAGGGTGCTGGCCGAGCCCTTCCCTTGTTGCTCCGGACAGCCCGCAGGCTCCCCTTGTCCTGCTGCATAGTTTTGGAGTGGGAGAAGCAGCAGAATGGGGAGGGGCCCAGGACCCTGTGAGGATATGGATCCTGACCCGGGGTAAGACCTTAATCTGCAGCTGTGTCCTTGGGAGCCTCAGGGCCCGGGCACTGGCTGGGGCCAGGCTCTTCAGATACGGCCTCAGACTGAAGCTGGGTACACGGCAGGGCCCGGGCGACGGGGAGCACTGACTCTAGCGTGTGAGGCATCTGCAATCTGCAGCTGCCTTCTCCCACTGCAGGCAACAACGGGGAGGTTTGTTTTTGACTCTACTTACTTGGTCAATCCAAGTGGCCTTGCTTCTCCCCTAAGCACCACCCCTAAAAGTGGAAGCTCAAGGGGAATCCCAAGGAGCTGAACTTGGGCCCACCTCTCCCTGAGTGAGTCAGACACCCCAGGGAGATGGTGCACTGAAGCTTCGAGGCGCTCCTGATGTTTGGGCCCCCCCTGCACTTCGGTGTGCCCCCAGCAGGCTGGTTCGGGCTGGTGGGCACTGGTTCCAGTGGCCAGCTGGACTCTGTCTCCTGGTCACACTTGTCCAGGTGCCCTCATGGTGGAAAGACCTGGTTGAAAAGATTGGGAAGGGAGTAAGTCTGATGGGGGTGGGATGTGTCATGTGGGGTCTTCTGTGGGCGCACGGGACTGATCCATGGAAGCCTAGCTGGCCCTTTCCTACCCCCGGAGCCCCCCTGACCTGGTCATATACCCAGCCTGACATCTGCCCACACGGTATCCACTTATCACTAACAGCCAGAGCCTGGGGACATGAATGCCTGTGGCAGCCATCCAGGATGACACTCACCTCCCCACCACTTCAGGGGCTGCCTGGGGGAATTGGAGGCTTCCCTCCTGGCCTGCCCTCCCAGCATGAGGCCAGCACCAGGGTCATTGGCAGGCCCTTCTGCTGGGGGGGGGTGACATGGGGGTGGGTATCAGGACCCACACCCCAGACAGTCGGCCTTTTCCCTCTGAGTGGGGCCCTTTGTAGGCTCCCGCTCAGAGACTAACTTCTAGAAACAGTTGTCCCGCTCCTTCTTTGTCTCAATGTCCTCACCACTCTGCAGTCCGGCCTCTGTCTCTGAGTGTCTGAGACCAAGCCTCGCTTCCTTGGCTACATGTGATTCTGGTCCTCACCTCTCCTCTTGGAATAAGGCCTAAAACTCTGCAGTCATTCTGGAAACCCCCTTCCCTCTGCTCTTCCATCTCCAGGCATCTACATTCTTCCTCCTATATACGTCTGAGGTGCAGCCTGTCATCTCCCTTCCCCAGTCGCTGCTTACGCTGAACTCCTTGAAAATGTGAATTTTCAACTGTTTTTGATGTACAGAAATGACACTTTCATATGGTTCAACTTAAAACTTCCTTCCATACTCCTTACCTCTCCCCTCCTGGTCAGATGTGGGGGCTTGGAGCCAGACAACCTCAGTTCGAATCCTTACTCTGCTGCTTTCCGGTGTGATTTGGGCAAGATACTTAGCCTCCCTGAGCTTTGGTCTCCTTGTCTACACAACGGGGACAATAATAGCACCCACTTTGACAGTAATACCTGAGTTAATACAAGGAACAAACAGCGTCTGGCACGTAGTCAATTCTTAGTAAGTACTAGTTACTACTGTTGTTATTATTCAAATTGAGCCCCAGAAATCTCCCCAGATCCAGAACACCGGCCTGCTCCAACACCCTCAATGGCTCCCTAGTGCCTCCCATGCCTTCTGTGACCTGCTCCCGGCCTGCCTGCAACCTTATAGACCGCAGGCAAACGGAAAACCTTGCCTGGCCCCAGCCACACCGTCTGCTGCCTGTCACTTCGCTTCCTCGTGTTCCTCCCTCTACACGGAGCTCCCTTTCCCCTTCTTTGCCTCAAAGGATGCTAACCATCTTTTAAACTCACATCAAATGCCACAGGGCAAATCGTAGGACCAAACACTCAATTGCTCCACCCAGGCAAGAGGCTCCGCCACGATTCTGAGAAAGAGAGGTCTATGAGGCCTGGAGCAGTCAGAGGCTTCCTGGAAGAGGGGGGAATGAAGTGGCCTTGAAGGCTAGGAAGAATGCGTGAGAAAGAAGAGGGGCTGGGTTGAGCTGGCCCACTCTGTTTCTCCCATGCCTTCTCCTGGGAGCCCCCTGTCTCCTTCAGCCCTGTAACCTCAGAGTGCACCACGAAGGGCATGGAAACCCTGGAACAGCCCTAGAAGGTGGAGCTGGGCCAGCTTGCAGAGGAAGATCGGAGGGTGGAGGGAGGTGGTGGGCGGAGCTCCAGTGTAGACAGCCTGGAACCCCAAACCCGGCTGGCTACACACCCAGGCCTGAGCCAACCTTCCCTTGCTCTGCAGAGTGGTGCCCACCTGCCGCCCCAGCGTGCTGTTGGGCCTCCTCCACACCGGCCTGGCCCTGCTGTCGGTGAGTCTACCCTGAGGCCGACCTGTTCGCCGCTCGCCACCTATCGCCAGACTGGACAGGGGGCCTTGAGCTCCCTGCTGGGCTGGCGAAGGGGAACCCCAGGAGCCCCAACTCTGGGAGTTCTCCCAGGGTGGGGACCCAAACCAAGATGCGGGCCAAGTCCAACCTCTCCGACTTTTGTCGCTCTTCTCTTGGCCAGTCCGCAGTCTGCTGCGTGATCGTGCCCTGGGAGGTAGGGCGGTCCTGGGTGTTGAGGCCAAGCCCTCAGACTCAGCCCCTCGGGGAAGGACTGGGCACCCAAGGCCTGCTCTGTGCTCTCCTTTCAGGTCCTTGTGCTGCTGTTGCTGGCTGTGCTCGTGAGGTGCCGCCGGCTCCGACCCCACCACGGGCCCGGCGGGCCTGGACTGCCCCGCTTGGTGCCGAGGCCTGGGCGCCCCCACTCAGGTGGCCCGGCTGACGGGGCCACTCTGGGACGGTGGGGGTTTGTTAGGTACCTAGAAGCAGCTCTGGCCTCAGGGACACCCCCACTTCTCTCGGCCCGGGGGCTCTCGCTACCCCTATCTGGATCCCCAGGTTTAGGCGGGAGCCCCAGAGGGAAGGGGAGGGCCGCACTCAGGTCCACCTGCTCCCGTGCCAGACCCAGGAGACACCAGCCCAACAGGGCCTGGCTCCAGGACGCATTACCTCAGGTGGCCCATGGTCTGGACAGGCGATGGCCATCCCATGCCATCTTGACCCTCATTTCCCTTGAAGGCATCACTCGGACCCTGATGCTTAATGGCAGATTATGAGGGACTGATCTCCAGTCCCCATGGCTAGGACTTTCTTCCCCCTCTCTCCTTCAGTCCTACAACCCCAAAGCCTGGGACAGGGATGACCCTGAGATGGAACTGGGCAGGCTCATATGGGAGAGATCAAAGGGTTGGGGGAGGTGGCAATTGGAGCCCCAGTGCAGACAGCCTTGCCTCCCAGGCCCAGACCACACACCAAGGTGAGTCCTGCCATGATGGTTTTGTGGAGAACTCGCCTGGGTTTCTGTCACTGGCGGGCCCAGGTAAGAGTTTGCCCTGCCTAGTGGGGGGAGAAGGAAGCAGGATGGAGAAGGAAGCGGATGACCTCAGGGCATGAGTCAAGCTGGACAGATGCAGAGGGTCTGAGTGGACTGCCCAGAGGGCTGATGCTTGGGACAGCTGTGCTCGTGGTCTGCCCTCTGCCTTGGGCCGCACCCAGGCCACGGCCATGGCTTTAGCATAAGGATGTTCTGATTCTCCGAGCTCTCTGAAGATTTGCCAGCCCAGACAGACTGATTTGTGTGGAGGCAGCTGTTTCCTGGGGCTTCCAGGGTGGGCGGAGGGAGCAGCGCTCAGGCCTGTTCCTGCTTGTGCGTGTGTATGGGGGTGGGGGCCGCATAGTTCTTGAGTCACTTTGCCACAGGGCCCAGAACTTGGGACACAGGAGGCCCTCCACAGATAGTTGTGGAATGAATGGGTAACGGGGCCCCGGTTTCCTTCTGGAAAGTTTCCATCTCTACCTCCCTGACATATGGAACACGGCATGGGTTCATGGGGGTGCAGGGCCCGAGCGACGCCCCTCTGTCCTGTCCCTGTCTCTGCACCAGCCCCGTGGATTTCTTGGCGGGGGACACGGCCTGGACAGTCCCTGCGGCTGTCTTCGTGGTCCTCTTCAGCTCCCTGTGTTTGCTGCTCCCCACCGAGGACCCGCTGCCCTTCTTGCCCTTGGCTTCACCCCCCAGCCGAGGTACGCAGCACGGCTGAGGCCCTGGGGCTGGACTGGTAGGATGGGCTGGGTGGGCATCCAGAGCATGGGGCGGGCTCTTCTGTAGTGAGTCAGGTACCTCCCATCCCCGTCAGGAGCCACTGCCAAGAAGATGCTGTCCCGCGGACCTCCCAGCCGCACTGCACGACACCTGCCCTTCGTTGGTCCCAGCTGTCGGGTCACGGCTGCCCTCTCCACCTCCTCTGTTCTTGCGCCAACCCCTCTCCCAGAACAGCGCAGGTCTCTGAGAGTGAAGGAGGGTGGGCAGGAAGCAGTCGGGGTTCTGGACAATTGAGCTGGGCTCGAGGAAGTGACGGTACAAGGACAGTGGCCACCAAGAGGAGCCACTGTCCTCAACGTGACCTCTTTAGATCAGCCAGCCCTCACAGTGACTCTGCACAGGGTGGGTGTTGGCTCCATTTCACGCTGGAGGAGGCCGAGCGTCAGGGGAGGGAACAATAGGAAAGCCGGAGCTCAGTTTACTGACAACAGACTAAGCGCGGTGCTGAGCACTGCACATCTACCTTCTCGTTTTGCCTTGGCTAATACAGTACCATTATTTCCATTTTACAGATGGAGAAACTGAGACTCCAAGAGGTAACTTGCCCGAGATCACGAACGCTGGTACTAGGCAGAACCTGAATGTGAATGTGGGGTTCTTGCCCCCTGAACCAGCTGAGGGGCTCAGAAGGGGGAGGCAGGAGAGGGGCCTGCGGGGGGCCCCACATCTGCCTCTCCAACACGTGGCTCCCTCTGCCCGCCTTGCCTTCCAGGGCCATGGAAGATCATCGCCCTGCTCTATTACCCTGCCCTCTACTACCCTCTGGCCGCCTGTGCCACCGTGAGGCAGGGAGCCGCACACCTGCTCGGCAGCGTGCTGTCCTGGGCTCACCTTGGGGTCCAGGTCTGGCAGAGGGCAGAGTGTCCTCAGGCACCCAAGGTAACCACTGACTCACAACGGCCTGAGGCAGAGGGGCGCGAAGGAACTGCATAACCCGGGCAGGCTCCTTTCCTCTTATTTACGTGTTGGACTTCTCTGCTGCCTTCTACTCTGCCCCGAATTCCCCTCCTGTGAACGCAGGCCCTTCCAACCTTGGGCACTCTGTGGCAAGAGCAGGGACAAGGGAGCTGGGCCTGCCCTCAGGAGCTTCCAGTCTGGGAGGGGGCAGGGAGGAGGAAGGGGCCAAGGGGGAGGAAGAGGGAGCCTGAAATCCCTCCATTATTGATTCCCCAGCCTTCCTTCGGCCAGGCTGGAGTGGGAGTGAAGAGATGGAGGAAGGCGAGCCCTGAACTGGGGGGATGGTCTTGGAGGGCTGAAAAGAGAATTCTAGAACCTCAGAACCTGGTTCACTGACTGCTGGCTGGGAGTGCCCAAAGGGTGGAGGCATAGGCCTCAGCCAGACAACCTGAGTTTGAACCCAGCTTCTTCCTCCCTCCCTCCTTCCTCCCGCCCTCCCTTCCTCCCGCCCTCCCTTCCTCCCTTCCTTCCACAAACATATTTGAAGCACATACTCTGCACAGGGACATTTCCCAGCACTGGAATATAGCTGTGAACAGGACAGATGAAGTCCCTAGCATCCCAAGAGCTGCCTTTCCAGAAGGGAAGATACAATAAATAAATAAATATACAGAATGATGCCAGGTGATGCTAAGTGCTTTGAGGAAATCGTGTCACCATTCTGAGACTCAGTTTCCCTCCCTGTAAATGGAGTGGATAACACCAATCCTCCAGGGTAGAGATGAGGATTAGCTGGTTTCTTTGAGAACGAGGACTTGGTGCGTCTTTTTCCCCATCCAGCACCTGGCACATACTAAGCTCTCAGTAAAAATGTATTGAATTAACAAATAAATGAGTGAATGCAGAAGGAGCCCAATCCTGGAAAGGCCTCAGTGCCAGGAGGTAGGGCTTGCACTTCCCTGATGCCCAGGTCACAACTGTACACGGTCAATATTAGGCCTTTGTCTAATTTTCAGGGGCCTGTGCCCAGAGCCCAGGGACAAAGGAACATAGCAAGGGGTATCTCCGGTTTCAGACCCCACGGTAGCCCCCTGGAGCAGGGAGGAGGGGATTTCTTCTAAGGGCTGTGGGAGTCCAAGAGCCCGGGAGAGGGGGGAGCAGGTCCGCAGGGCCTCAGAAGGGGAGTGGGAGTGTTTGTGCTGAGTGACCCGGGTAGGGGGGAGCATGAGAGGACCAGAAGCCTCAGACCACCGGCAGCCAGGTGGGAGTGAAGTGGGAAGGGACCTGGGTCCTGGTCTTCTGTCGGGGGAGGAAAGCAGAAGGTAGGTGTATCTGGGCGTCTGTCTGTCTGTCTAGATCTACAAGTACTACTCCCTGCTGGCTTCCCTGCCTCTGCTTCTGGGCCTCGGATTCCTGAGCCTTTGGTACCCGGTGCAGCTGGTGAGAAGCTTCAGGAACACGGCAGGAGCGGGCTCTGAGGTAAAGGGGCAGGGCTGGCCTGAGCTCCTATTCAGCACCCAGGACGCCCTGAACTCCTGCACGGCTGTTGGCTCCCTGTGCGTGGGCACAGCACGTAGTAGGTGCTCAGAAATATTTGCCGAGTCACCAAGTGACAGGCTAGTCCTCCCTCTTGGAGCAAAGGTTAGGCCAGGCCCTGAGCTGGCACCCGGGGTACCTGGGGCAGCCAGCTGCGCGCGCAGCCAGGAGTCAGCAGAGGAGGGGCGGACCAGAGGACAGGGCAGTCCGAGCTCTGTCTCTGAAACCCCGAGGTGCCAGCCGGAGAAATGAGACAGGCCAGGAGACTGGTGCCTCCGAGGAGCTCTGCAGATGCCCAGGAGCCCCAGGAAGCTCCTGGGGCAGAGTCGCATTATGAATCAGTTCTAGGCTGCGTATGGTTGGATAAAGTCAGATAAAGGGGTGGGCTGGGAGAACTGAGGCAGGCTGGGGGGGCTTCCTGGAGGAGGTTAACTTCAATAGGGACCCTGAAGGACAGGGAGGATCTGGAGCAGGGAGAGAATAAGGAGAAGGTCTTGCAGGTGTAGGAAAGAGGAGTAAAGGGGCAGACACGGGTTGTGTCTGTTTTGTTCACGTGTAATTTGTAGCACTGGGCGGGTCTTAGCACATGTTAGATAATCAGCAGCTATTTCTGAAGTTTTAGATAGATGGGTGGGTAAATCACAGCGAGAGAGAATTCTTACAAGACAAGGCAATCTTATTAAGAAGCCTTCTAAGTGCCTACCAAGAGTCAGGCCCTGAGCAAGGGACTGCGGACTCAGAGCCGCTGGCCTGTGTCTGACCCCCAGGGGCCCCCAGGGCGCTGGGGGAGATGCAGGCAGCAACAGATAGTCACGCGTCAAAGTGAGAAGTGCAGCCGGGGCCCAGCCCACGGCCCTGGGTGAGGGCAGACACAGGGTCATGTACTCTTCTTGGTGGGAGAGGAAGAAGAAAACCACCCTACAGAGGCCCTCGAAGGGAGGCGGACAGCCTCAGGAGAGGCTGAGGACCCAGATGCCAAGGGGCTCAGTTACTCTCCAGTCGGGGAGGGTGAAGGCAGGGCTCACAGGGTGGCCTAGAGGACAGAGCAGCGAGCTGCTCGTGCCAGTTGCTGAGAGATGAACACTGGATGTGGGCAGGTGCTCGGGGGGGCTGATGCGCAGTCGTGGGGATGTGGTGGGTGGCTGGACTGGGGGCCTGGGGCTCAGGAGGGGGGCTGGGATGGAAGCCAGAGAGGTGCCCCGAGGAGGGAAGGAGACCCAGGGGAGAGAGGCCTGTGGGCTCGGGTCCTCCAGCGGCCGCCCTGGGTCCTCCTTGGGCCCACCCAACTCCGGGTTTGGTAGCAGTAGGGACCTCACGGGCAGTCACTACTGGCCTCCTGACATTCACACTCCTCTGGGGAAGCCCGATGTCCCCTCATTTTTACAGTTGACTCAGAAGAGGGGAGTGGCTCTCCCAGGGTCCCCAGTACACTGGTCACATCTCTACCCCCTGGGCCCTCTCCCTCCCCCTCCAGGGATCTTCGCTGCCTCACCTCTCCCTCCAGGCATGCCTCTCCTCCCGAGAAGTCCTGGAAGAAATAGAATCCTCTTTGGCCCTGCGGCAGAGAGGTTTAAGCCTCAGAAGCCCCAGTCAAGCTTTGACCTGACCCATACCTACCCTGGGTGGTGTGCGTGCGTGTGTGTGCGTGTGTGTGTGCGTGTGTGTGTGTTGCCATGGCAACAGGTGATAGGCTTGTATTCTCCTAATGATCAGGGGCAAGGGCTCACCCCACCTTACCACGGGCCTCTGGAACTTAGCAGGCAGCTTTCGGCCTGGAATGTGGCTTAGACAAATCCGGCCACCCTTGTGATCTTCCTGGAGTAGCAGGAGAGGCCTGCGGGATGTGACCTGGAACGGCCCCAACCTGTGTCCTGCTCAGGGATGTGCCCATGGGACCTAGGCTTCCTTTTGCCCCAGTCTCAGCTAGCCAAGGCCAGGGGGCCGGGGCAGGGGGCGGGGGAAGCAATGAGCAGATGTGACTAAGTGAAGCAGGAGAGAGCTGGACGCAGCCCTTAGGACGAACCGCTCAGTGCTGAGTATTCCCAGGAGACGGGTTAGTCTCCTAGTTGTGGAGGAGAAAGGGCAGCTTTGGGGGGCATGGACCTCATCCCCACAGGCTGGCCCTTCTCTGCACCCTGCCACAGCCAAGAGGTTTTTATGGAGCCCCATGTGCTCACTGTGACACCCTGAGCCAGGGTCCCAGGGATGGCTCCGGGCAGGTCTCATCTGCTCGTCCATCTGTCTGTCTCCACAGGGGCTGCAGAGCAGCTACTGTGAGGAATATCTGAGGACCCTCCTCTGCCGGAAGAAGCTGGAAAGCAGGTGAGGTCCTAGGCAGCTGGTGGGGCAGAGTGACAAAGAAACCAAACTCTGGGGCTCGGGCCCAGGGAGGGGGCTTCTCCTGAGGGCACCTGCCTGCCTCCGTCTTTCTGCAGCTCCCACACCTCCAAGCATGGCTTCCTATCCTGGGCCTGGATCTGTTACCGAAACTACATCTACACTCCACAGCGAGGTACGGAGCTGTGGTTAAGAGTGGCAGGTGGGGCGCCTGGGTGGCTCAGTTGGTTAAGCGACTGCCTTCGGCTCAGGTCATGATCCTGGAGTCCTGGGATC